TAATATACGGCGCCGTTTTCTTATAGCCCAAAAGAAATGAGGCTTAAAAGTAGATGTAAGCTCAATTTATTTCCTTGCATTACCGGACATTCTAAACAATAGAGGGGCTGGTATAACAGAAGCGGCATCCGTTGTACCGAACAAATATAACTCTTGCGGTCTCCACTTCAATTCTCCGTAATTCCAGTTTTTTATATCTTTCATCTCTGAGGATGTCCCTGCTGTGTATTGTACGACTTTCTAAATTTCTTCACAAATTCTTTTTCTTGCTATTTATTCAGGGTGGAGCATAATGCCAGCGAGAGTCGGCTTACGTTTAAGTCTTTCACTTTATTTGTTGGAACAAACTTTTTGGTTATATTATTCTTCCGTAAATAATTCTCATAGTGTCTTTTATGCTTCGATGGAGAGAAGTAATTGAATTTTAGGAATTAATTTAATTTATGTCGTCGATGGAATCGTCCTTTTTGTGCAGGCGGGTTTAATCACTTGTTCTTGAAATAAAAAGATCATATAATTTCTCTCACGGGGCTTGTGTTAATGGATTCTCGTTTCAATTTAGCTCTTGCGACAAGCCAAACATTGATCATCCGTCATGTTACAATTTATGGATATTTCTGAACATTAGTAGTAATGACTTTCTTTTCTAAGAGTGTGTGTGTAAGACTCTTCGATTAGAAACATTTCATCTAAAACAACAAGCTTTGTGCAATTGGGAGCAACTATCGACAAGTTGCTTTTTTTCGTACCTATGCATTTTTTATAACAGGTTATAAATGTTATCGATTTTTGAAAGAATGTGCGTAATTGTTGGTTTTTTAAGCTTAGAACCAGCCATAAAGTGTAATGTTCCTAGGGGTCTATCAAGCCGACACTGAAAACGTTGACTTACCCTATATTATCTACCTACCTTTCAAGTCGAAACGATGGACGTTTCGTGGCACTTTTGAATTTGGATGGCAGTCGGCTCGATATGGGTGGCACGAATGAACTCCTACTTTGTGTAATCGGTTCTTTGTGTTGGGACGTGAGACATCATCGGCAAGGGAATTAAATAAAAGACAGAACTTTTGTGCGTAAGAAATGACAAGAACAAATAAAATATTACGCACACAACAAGACCATGCCAGGGAAACCTTCTACGGGACAAAAACCCCGGCATAGGCCACACAAAGACATGAAATATCACCTACAGCAATAAAATGCAAGAGAAAATACACATAAATAAAATATCTCAAATTGTATGATCAATTAGATAATCAAATCAAATGCAATATAAACAAGTTCATAAAAACAAAATACACAAGGCATCATAAATGCAGTGGAAAACATGATAAATTAGTTCAGTACAAAAACACATCAAAATACCTATATAATCAATTGAGATAAATAAATGATGCCATTTATTTCATTTACGAGTTGTGTTATCTCAATTACATAGTACATAGGAAACATCAAAAAGGTGTGGCTCTACTACAGCCTTCCACTAATATAATTTAATTTAACACGAAAGGTGCATGTGAGAATGCCAATAGCAAGTATTCACGTGAAAATCGATTATCGCTCAAGCAGAACATATTTTAAAGAGAGGAAATGTTAATGAGAGGGCCCCTAAATATCTCGCATTCCTAAGATGCTAAGAACTGCAATCCGCACGAGACGAGTAGGCAACAGATACAGCGAACGGTCGAACTGTATTAGGTACCTACTCCACGGAGACAGAATTAACCACTCGCACACACAAACATCGAAACATCAAATAAGAGAGCCCCTTCGTATAGCTTACGCACAAGAACTGCGGCGCGCCACGAATAAGAAAGTAACAGATACAGCGAACAATCAAACTGTATTAGGAGGTACTTCCCTCACGGAATAGTTACGGATCAATCGAACAGAGCAACATCGCACTGATAATCAACTCTTCGTGAATACAGAAATAAATACTTAATAAAACAAAATAATGACATAATCACCTGGACAGTATAACAAACACGATTCATCTAACGGTACTCAAAACAAAGGCATGGAGTGCGCCATGATTCAGATATCGTAGTTTATGCAAAATCAGCAAAATGTAAATAATGTCATTGTGACAAGAAATTCGATGATTAATAGTAAGTACAATAAAGAATAAAATGGTTACTACCTGTAATTACACCTTCAAAACACCACAAACGAAAAAATCAAGATGAAAACCGAGAACGTGTGATGCCTTCCGTCCACCCCGTCGCCATCCGCTTCATTCTCCCCTAGCTTTGTTACCAAAATTCCCTAGTATTCGGCATCTACGCAAAACGGTCGATTGGTTATATACAGAGCGTATCATATTTTTGATTCAGATGTAAAGGTGTGTTGCCTAACCATAAGGGTGGATTATCACAAAAGGAATTCATGGCCTGCGGGTACCGAAAATATTAATATTCGCGCCGCTTGCACATCCAGCAGCAAAGTAAAACGTTGAGATTTCAAATTCCAAACAAGTAAGTACCGAAACAATGGGTTTACTATTCAACAAATGTATTAATTTCGATGTCAGCAAATAAAACAATGTTAGTCTGTATAGGAGGGAAATTGTGTGTAGAATTAGCTTTGCCAAGTTAGCTTTTTAGCGGTTCATACAGGTTCATTTTGTGTTTGAGATCACTTTGCTTTCTGCATCCATTGAGTTAAGTTCAATTTGTGCCATTGTCCATTTGCAAAAAGGTAATGTACGTAGTTGTTATTGAAATTACTTAATTTGTAAATTATGTCGCCTTCAGCTGTTTATAAGTCAGGTTAAAGTGATTCTTGAATTTGGGTGTTATTTGCTTTCAATGTAAAGGTTATTCCTATTTTGATTTGTTTGAGATTGGCCAGTTATTAATTTTCATTTGTACGTACTCATTTGGATTGCTTAGCGACTTGAATTCATTGTGCACGAATCTGCCTTTTTTTGAGTGTAATTAACCCTTTCGCCCTTGCAGAGGTATATGCCGAAGCGATAAAGATACTTAGCGGCATTTATCTCGAACTACAACTTTAGTCTAAGGTTACCGTATCCAGGACCTTCAGATACATACCGGATGCATTTTATGTACTTTATGTAAGAGACTTCAGAATGTATTCCTTCACACATGGGAAAGGATTGAACTTATCAAGTTTTGTATTGCATTAACGTCTGATTTCAAGGGTTACTTACTCGGATTATTAGTCTTTGTATATTGTAGATGAGATGTAGAAAGTGTTTAGCATTTTCCAATGTTATCTCTCTTGGTTAAGATTTTTCCTCTATATTTAGTCTCTGTGAACGGTGATTCGGAATTTTCTTTAGCACGGTTCTTTTGTCCGATGAGTTCTAAGAGAGCACTTTTGGGCTGTCGGAGGTTAACTTCGGAACAAAATAGCATTCCATCTCTATTACCTAGGAGGCAAGAGAATTTATAAAACCCCTTTGTCATTACCTTTGTACCCTCAGCTAACTGGACACTTGATACTTTTGCATTAGAGGTATGACATTTTCCTGCTTTAATATTTGTACTTTTACCAGAGAACAGGAAACCTGAAGTACTATGACATTTGATGCCGACATTTCCAGACCTTTAGTAGAAACGTTACATTTCATATACAGGGTGCCCATTATGTATGGAATATAGTATATATCTCGGTAAATATCGACTGTATACAAAAATTTTTTATATGAAAGTTGTTTAACGTTGTATTTACCATAATAAGGCACCAACCCATTCATTTTATTTCAGAAAACAAATGAATGCCAAAAAACAATTCAATTTTTTTAAATAGAAATGCACATTTTCATTATGCTCATTTGATAGAGATGTTTTTTCTCTTTTCAATGACGTAACACGTTAACACCCGTGAAGAAAAAAATAATTTTTATTTCAAGCTTTTTGGGATAGGTTATTCCAAGGGAAAAAATCTCTATCAAATGAGCCTAATAAAATGATGCATTGCCATTTAATAAAATTCAATTGTTTTTCATTACTCATTTGTTTTCTGACATAAAAACAAGTGAACGCTGTCTTATTATGGGAAATAAAATATTAAACAATCATTTCACATAGAAACATTTTGTATATACTTATTCGATATTTACAGAGATATAGTTATACTATATTTCATACATAATGGGCACCCTGTATAAGCAAATTGAAACGCTTGTGAGTTCAGTTCTTATTTCGATGCACTTGTGTTATATTTTCTTATTAATAATATTTTACTGTTATTTAATTCACTTCAAGACGTATAAATTTATTGTTAATTAAATTGTTATAAATAATGGACGTACGTGACATTAGAATATTGAAGCAAGATTTTGTAACTCTAGTCGAACGTAAGCAGTAGATTTGTAAAGAGGCACTTTAATCGTAATCGATAATCCGTAAAGTAAGTATATACTTTTAGATCGAGTGGCTATTATTGAATCGGTTAAATCGCCGGCAATTATTATAAAAGCTGCTGACGTTAAGAAAGATTTCCAGTTTAATGTAGTGAAATAATTTTGCCCCAAGGTTTCAAGCTCTCAGACGTTATCCAATTTTCTTTCAAATTCTTTTACCGACAATATAAAGGTGTCATTGATTCTGGAAGCATGTAACACGGGCTCTGCTATCTTAAGTGCGGCGTTCGAGAGACGACGACGTCTAGGTGCTTACAATGTTTGCTTTTGGAAGGAAGCGTCCTCTTCCATTTAGAATCTAGTAAGTGCAGGATTCAGTTTTCTAAAAAGTTCAATGGCACGCTGAATAGAATGCGCTCGAATTTATCATGAAATTAGGGCGTAATTATAGAAATGGCATAATTTAATTAGGCACTTGATGAAATTTAAAGATTCGCTCGCTTCTTCTAGCTTGCGAGGTTTTGTTAAAGTAATTTCGCTTCCAGTTCTTTTATCGCGGAAACGTCGTCTTCCTCATCAGCATCAAAACGAGGGGCGCAGTCGCACCCTTATCGCTTTAATTCAGGCGAACACGTTACGTTCAAAATTCAGTAGCGCCGCGACGCTCCATCCATGTAGCTACCATGTAAGCGGACCCAATGTTTGATTACGTGCATAACCGATAGTCACTGAAATTGTGGTATTGCAATTTGTACACGTTTAAAAAAATGAGGATTATGAATGTGTTAAATTTAGTGTAACCATGAATTTGTATAAGAGTGCATATTGGACGAAATGGGCTATTTCATTATACGTTATAATTTTTCTCCTAGGTAGGAACTCAATTTTCTCGAAATTGAAGCGGTTTCAGACTCTCCTAATTTAAGAAAGTTAAATTACTGACAAGAATTGGGAGAACAAGTAGGTCAAAGGTTTACCATTATTCTCATTCCGCCAACGAAATGACAAAGAATTTTTTTAAGTTGCAACGTTTCTACAAATGTAATTTTCAGTAATATTTAATGCACCCCCCAAAGGAACGTTGTAAATATTTTACTATCATATTACGCAGCTTTTGCTGAGAGATTAACGTTGAATTTTGCATGTTTCCATTAATTCTTTCCATGATTACAGAAAAGCTCGCTTTAAGTAAGTGAGGAAAACACGCAAATATTTTTCCACCACCCCCATGCAAGATAAAGACTTTAACGGCCTGACCGTGCGACTTTTAAAATTACTTCTCTTTATGCTGTAATAAGTATGAAAAGAAACGTTTTCTGAAATTGCTGAAATATTTCCGAAAAATAAAAATCAAGGGACCAAACGTAATTCAAACGTTTCAGACATTCAATTTTTCTTTCTTTCTATTACCTCGGAATAAAGACCTGCTTTGTTGCTCGAAAACTTAGAAATTTTTAAATCAAACAGTGTGAACAGTTTTTCAGAAATGCGATAACAAAAGAAAAACGAAACCGAGTAATTGATTGAAGGACGGTTTTTTCTCAACTTTTAAATTCCTCCCGGATTTTCACGCGGCAAGGTATGCGGTAAAACAAATTGAGTTTAAGTTTCAATTATAAAACCCTTATCGATATCCACAGGATACATCAATCACTTACATTCGCATATCGAACCGAACGCATATGTGTGCCTGACAGGTAAATATAAATAATAAAGTAGAGAAAAACGAATGTTTCGCGGAAAAAACTGAGAAGACTTTTAAAAATAGCTTTAGGAATATGGAAAAAGTGATTGATATCGTTGTATATCACTCACACTATTTTCCCGTTTAATAATATAGTAAGTTTTTCCGCATTTCCTTTTACACGACGCATTGATTTCAGATGTGACCGTGGGAGTTCGAATAAATAAACTGCAGGTACCTGAAGTGACACATATAGGCAGTCCGGTTATCCTGGACTGCGACTACAGCTGGGAGGAGACGAAGGACGAGGGAATTGTCGTAAAATGGTACTTTAACGAAGAAAAAATTCCCGTTTACCAATGGATAGCGACCAAGAAACCTCAAGTACTAGGTTGGTGAATATTTTTACACTTTTCTCTCGCCCGCCAAAATTAAATGCATGGCGTAAAACGCGATTCACTTTATTACGTTGTTGAGGAAAAGACAGCTGTTGGAGGTTAGGGTCAACGAAAATAAATGAAAACGGGGGCGTACACTGACAAAGGAACTTTTATTAAAAAAATAACTTCTACTATAAGCCTTCTGTATTACGGGCACATATTAATATAGGAGCACATGGATTGAATTTATTTGGGAAACTGGGCGGGTTTCCTAATTTATTAAACTATCGCATTCCTAAATTACGACGTTAATTTTGCCTTATTTGATACTTAAGCTTAATATATTTTCCGTAAATTGACAGAAAAATGTATATCCACCCCAAATATTTCATACTCGTATTAGGCGTGCCCGCACTAATAGATTGCATTCGGGGTTAAGTTGTGTACTTTCGGAAAAACTTCATTCTGAAACTGTAGGTTTCAGCAAGAATGCCATCACTTTATGTTTGCAAGAATACAATTTTCAGGATCGCGTTCCTTCAATAAAAGATTCACGAATTATTTTGTAAACCTGTGGAAATTTGTTCCTGGAAATATTTATGATGCCCAAAATTTTAAAATGTTCATCAGTAAATATTGAGACATGCAACTACGGACAAATTTATGACTGTCGAATTCTCTCAGTTACAAATATTCCAAAATTTGGGTTTCTAGGGACGGTTCGAGCTAACGGCTTTGAGGTTCCCACATTTTATAAAACTTGTTCAAGTTCAAAAAACTGGGAATTTTTGTACATGAAAGTAATGAAACCAAAGTTTTTGAAAAGTCGAAATACAGCTTTCTGCCATTCTTGGACTTGCCAACAAAATTCCGTTGCGCAGAACACAAATCAAACAATTATTTCAATAAGTACAATATCTTATTTTGGTGCGAAAACAAAGTCCCCTATATTTCAACAAATGAATCATCAATGCCTAATTAATGGAGGCCGACCTCCTCATTACACACTTCATCTATTGCAGACATCTTAAGAACCAGAGGGTCATATTAGGTTTATTGGATGCCGCCAGCGGCATCTTGGTTGGTGTCGAGTTGTTAGCTGGCGGAACTTGTTCTTGGACATCTTTCGAAAATGCTAACACTAGAACTTGTACGAGTTAAGCCCTAATGATACATAATTAAAAGAGCCAAAGCGTTGACACTACAGATCTACGCCTACGCCCAGTTCGAATTTCATGCAATTTGGTTCACAAATGGTCGCGATGACAAAACATTGTCAAAGTCCTCATGCTTCAGCGCATTTTTGTATTCTATTAGCCCGTTTTGACTCCGCCATCAGTAAGATCTTGTCGGGGGCTACCATATTCCCTTTGTCGGTACCCACTTATAACGTGAGGTTAGTTCGGCGCTGTAAAACTCAAACCCCGCCGCATAAACGGCCAGCTAGCTCAGATTCTTAATTAAAAGAAGGGCTCGAGATGAGAATCTTCCACAGCGGTTTGTTCGTTTGGGCATATAACATAAGTTTTTGATCTTTGGTAGTTACTAGAAATGATTAGTTGAGCGCCACCCAATTTTGCACAAATTCTGACCTCTCCTGTATAGAAAATTGGGAAAACACAAGAGAGCCAAATAATAAATTCACTACGAACAATTCTGATTTATTAATCCTGGCAAAACGGTGCAGGATCGGCAAATAAAATGTATCTTCAATACGACAATAACAAATACTTTAAATGACAAAAATAATCCCCAACTAAATTCATGAACACTTCCCTAATAATTACGTTACCAGACCCCTACAACAATGATCGAGCAAAAATGTAGTTAAGATTTCAATGGATTCCAAGATTGAATTAAGTTAACCCGAATAACAACTCATATAGGCAACACTGGGTACAAGTAAATTAAAAATCTTACCTTGAATAACACATACGCTGTCTTCTCCGAAAAAGAGCTCTCCTTCGAAGTTCCAGTTCTGTAACACAAAAACAAACCCCAAGCTACAACGCTCGGAACGATTATATGAGCCGGAAGGGCCAAAAATAGCTTACTCGTAGCCGGCTCGTTTACCCATACGTTAAATACAGTTGCGTTGCTCTTGAAGAGAACCACGACCTCAAACACTAGACGTGAACAAAATACAAAGCTCCAATCATAAATCGTCGGAAGGTTACACTAGATTAACGGTATTGAAACAAATAAAAAAGGTTGTGTAAAAGATCGTATCTTCCGAAAATTCCACAATCAGCTGGTCGCTCCCGGTATCGTTTAGGTGTTAGGGCTTATCTACTCGGTGGTACGCCGGATAGCTGCCGGCAATCAACAGGTGTTCGTACTCCGGAATATTCGCAAGATGCAAATTCATTTACTATCCCAAAATTATGCCAGGTCAATGTCCTCCGCCCACAAGAATGTGCAAGGATATACTATAAACTATACCATACAAGGATTCGTCTGTACAAGGATTGACCGGTACAAGAATTCATCTACTACATGGACCCCCTAAAAGTAAAAAGATGTAACACTCCCTTAACGAGATTTTTAATAACATACCTGAAATCGTCAGGAGGGTAATGAAAAATACTTAAATCAATGAAATATGGAAATTATCCAACCTCAAATTGTGAATCTGAAAGAATTTTAGATAACATAACGTAAAAGAAAACCAACGCCATTTCACTTACATGTAGGTAGGGCGATGAACTTCAACCAGATATAACCTCGCAATGGAGAAAACGCTTCTGAGCTACTCGACAACGCCAATGAAAAGGTAAAATTGCCAGAGATTTCACGTGAATGATGGCAAATATTACCCACTGGTTTAAGAAGAATTCACAATGTCACGCTCTACAACAAGTACAACCTCGTTGGCTTCAAACCGGAAATGAACTGAAAAAATAACGCGATTCTGCGCGAGGAAAGAAACACGCGTACAAGTGACGCCATCTCACCTATATCCTACTTAACCTAGCAAGCGGTAATTTTGAAATTTGAATATGAATAAACTAAACTGTTACACACTTCCAAGGTTCCGTTCACCCACAATTCGCGTTTAAAGTTTTAACGAACCCCGATCTACAAGTATGATAAAAAATCCACTTGCAAAATTTCATCGTAATCGGTTTCTCCGTTCTATTTTAAATCGATGGACATGAAGCCATTGAGCGAGCGATCGGACGATTGAGAGAAAGCATAACTGTCTCCCTTAAAATCTCGGGCCCGCCCATTTCGCCGTGGCCAGTTCGCCGTCGCCAGTTGGCTGTCGCGAGTCAGCCGTCGCCAGTCGGTCGGCGGGCCACTTCGCCGTAGGCCCGGTTCGCCGGCGCCAGTCCGCCGGCGGGCCACTTTGCCGTCAGTCTATAAATGCCAGAGGGATTGATCTGAAGGGAACGTTTCGTAGAGTTATCCAACCAACATGATTATTAAAGTTTTCAGTATTTATGCAATTTACCTGTTCGCCCTTCCCAGGTAATTGTCCTCAAACCAATCCAAGAGGGGATGTAATTGGTTGGGAAGGTAATTACTGAGCTGATCGACTGCATCCTCCAATCTTTCCACGGGTACAAACGCATAAGTAATAAGAATAAGTAATAAATAATAACTAATATTAATAAAAGATAAAAGTAAAGGTTTGGGTAGGTTTGTTTATAGTCACATAATTAAATAATAAGTAATAAGTAATAACAATAAGAATCAGGAAATTTTCATTTAAGAGTCTTATTATTTATGATTGCGAAATGGACGACAGGAATTTTTTTGGATATTTTGAAAGAAAAATTGTAAATAAAAAACTCGAGTTTACTGGATGTATATCTAGCGAGAAATTACAATACTTTAATGTTATTAAGTAGCATACTGGTCATGCGGCGGCGATGAAGCGAATCGACGGCGAAGTAGCGACGGTCAACTGGCCTGACGGCGAAATGGCCCGCCGGCGGACTGGCGACGGCGAACCGGGTCGACGGCAAAGTGGCCCGACGGTAGACTGGCGACGGCGAACTGGCGACGGCGGACTGGCGACGGCAGAATGACGACGGCGAAATGGGCTAGACTGTAAAATCTCGACGCTAAAAAATAAAATCCATTGAAGGCTCATCGCACAAGTTGATAATAAAATCTCTAAATTGTAGTAACACCCTGTACTAATCTTCAACCTCTACCTAAAAATTCCGCACATACCATTTGGCTACACACGTTATTATTTATCGTTACTGCAACAGTTTCGACGGATGTCGTACTCCCTGCAGTACAAAAAATTGTAACGTGTGTAGCCGGTTTAAGATAACCTTTTTCAACCACTTCGATGCGAAAGCGATTTCTTACCGCGGATTCACACGTAATTTTCTGCTTAAACATTTTCGCTACTTAGGGAGAAATATCATACGGCTGTTTTTCGCGTGGCCTAATCTGAATGTTTGGTTCACTAACTAAAAATAACCACTCAACACTAACTCTAAGCGATTCACTTAAAAAAATTTCTCCTCTCTCTTTTGCGAACAATCTCGTGACTACCCGCGTAATGCACACGGTTACTTTCAAGCGAGCGCGCCACCGCCACGTTCATTTTTATCAAAAGTGGTGGTCCCTATTCCATTAAAGAGATTACAATAAGAGACATAACGTTAAGACTGGCGGTTTGCTCTGTAATTACCCTTCGAAAATGACGTTTTAGTTTTGATAACTTTGGCGCAGTCGAGGCCAGGCGGCTCAGCCGCCGAAGGCGAAATTATGCTCTTTATTGTATTCAAAAGAATAGAATGGGGGACATGGCTTAGCCTTCGGTAGTTGCGCCGACTCACCTCGCACTGTGAATTACTTTCGAAAATTACGTGTTACCTTCGGCAACGTTGCCGCAGCACTGCCAAAGTTATGTCGTTCTGTAACTACCCTTCGAAGATCACGTTTTAGTTTCGATAACTTTGACGCGGTAACAGCGCGAGGCGAGTCGGCGCAGCCGGCGAAGCCGAAGGTATGTCTCTAATTGCATCAAAAAGAATACAATAGGGGG